GTATATTGTTGGAATTTCAATTGGCATTGCATTGAATCTATATAGTAGTTTTGGAAGTATGGCCATTTTCACTATATTGGTTCTTCCTACCCAGGAGCAAGGGATGTCTTTCCATGTTCCTGTATCCTCTTGGATCTCTTTTTTCAGAGTGCTGTAGTTTTCAGTGTAGAGGTCTTTAGCTTCCTCTGTTAGATTGATTAATAGATATTTCATTTATTTGGAAGCTGTTGTAAAAGGAATTGTTTCCCTAATTTCTCTCTCAGTGAGTCTGTTATTTGTGTACAAGAAGGCAATTGTTTTTGAGTCTTGACCTTGTATCCAGCTACTCTACTGAATCTGTCAATTAAGTCTAGAAATCTTCTGGTGGAGTTTTTTGGGTCTTCTATGTAAGCTACCATATCGTCAGCAAATAATGACAGTTTAACTTCTTTTCCTATCTTTATTCTTTTTATTTCTTTCTCTTTTCTAATTGCCGTGGCTGATGTTTCCAGAACTATATTGAACAGGAGTGGTGATAGTGGGCATCTTTGTCTTGTTCCTGATTTTAGCATGAAAGTTTTCAGTTTTTGACCATTTAGTATGATGCTGGCTGTTGGTTTTTCATAGATAGCCTTAATCAGGTTAAGATAAAGACCTTCTATTCCAATTTTCTGTAGGGTTTTTATCATGAATGGGTGCAGGATTTTGTTAAATTCTTGTGCAGGATTTTGTTAAATTCTTTTTCTGCATCTATTGAAAGATCATATGGTTTTGGTCCTTGACTCTGTTAATATGGTGTATTATATTTATTGATTTACGAATGTTGAACCATCCTTGCATCTGTGGGATAAATCCAACTTGGTCAGGGTGTATGATCTTCTTGATTACCCTCTGCATTCTGTTTGCCAGTATCTTGTTGAAGTTTTTTGCATCTGTGTTCATTAGGAAGACTGGCCTGTAGTTCTCTTTTTGGGTTGGGTCTTTCCCTGGTTTTGCAATCAAAATAACACTTGCTTCCAGGAATGAATTTGGAAGTATTGCTCCCCGTTCAATTTCCTTGATGAGTTTAAAGAGTAATGGCATTAGTTCTTCTTTAAATGTCTTGTAAAATTCAGCAGTGAAGCCATCCGGACCTGGGCTTTTGTTGTTGGTAA